TACAATGAAAAAAGCAAGTCAGCTATATATCGATTTGTTGTACTCCTCAAATCACATTCACAATTTGGCTACAAGGAAAGGAAACTCATTGATTAAAATATTATTTTGTCAGTAGTCTTAATGTACAAGAGACTTTAAGACTCCACTTGAATATTATAAAACTTTTATTGAACATTGTACAATTTTCTTGCGTATTATAAACTTTTATTGAATATTGCATCTTATAATATAATATTCTCCAAATAAATATATCCCGTGTTTCACACGGGTCACGTACTATATATATCCCGTACATTTTTATTTATTCATGTATATAATTATAAGCCTGGATAAATAGCCATAAAATTGTGCACCCCGTGCATCGCACGGGCTCTGTACTAGGTAAATAAAAACGCAACATTTTTTTCCTTTCATATTAATTTCTATCTATGGATAAATTAACTTACATTATTCCCTAAAACTAGTGCGTGGCCCGTGCGATGCACGAGAAAACAATATTACGATTGTATTATAAATTAAATATATAAATAACATTAATCATAATTTATCCATTGTTTTTAAATTAAACCGGGTTGGGCACCGTCCGGCCGGATGGACCGAGAATCGGTTTATAACCAATCTAGTTTGCTTGCATAAATATTTGCTCTCGAATCTGTCAACACCGGTCGGTTGGACTGGTAGGGTCGATACGATTTTCTAAATAAATTTTGTTATATTTAAAATTATTTTAAATTATATTACATATTTAAATAAAATAGAGATTTATAAATTATTTACCAATTAGTTTAAATATTTGAATTCATAAATTTTTTAGATATCTAAGTAACACATTTTATTTAAATATATTGCAAAAAGTACTATATATATATATATATATATATATTAAAATGTTATTAAATTAAAATCTGAACAAACCACAAATGATTTAATAAAATAGCCTGATCATTTTGATGACGGTCCAGTTCTGAAAACCTTATATATACTGTACATTAATAAATATTATAATAAAATATTATTTGATTTATATAAATATTAATAAAATTATATTTCAATATTCATAAATCATTAAAGATGTTGTCATAAAAGTATTGTTAATACGATTATTTGAAGTTTGAATTACATCACATTCCCGTAATAAAATATTTTCAATATAAAATTTATATTTAGGTTCAATAATCGATTTGGTGTGGTCGAACAGATACATAACTTAGTCACCTGGGACCAACCAAATTGTGTCAAGTTTTTTGACTATTTTAAATATCAACTAAAAGTAATTCAATCAACCTGGGCAGTACCCTAATTCAATCACTCGATTGATCTGAAGAAATTTTCTTTTTTTTTTTAAATATATTTAATTTTATGAAATAAAAATATTTTATGATTCATATAATAAATGTCTACACCAAATGATAGTCTATTAAGATTATAAATTATATATCTAAAGATGAAATAATTATTTTTACTTTATGCATATTAATAAAAAATAAACATAGTAATTTTCAAAAAATTAAGATTAATTGATTGATTATGCAACTTAAAGAATATTTTTAGCGTTCAATATTTTTTTAAAGGCACAAATATAAAATCGAGATTCTAAAACTTTTGTTATATTTTGAATTGAGATTTTACAAATATAGAGACCAAGATTTTAATATTGTTCGTTGTTTCTAAGGAAAAAAGAAATAAAAATAAAAACAAACACACTTAATAAATCTTAGCCGTATTTTTTAAATAATAAAATGAACTAAAGTCCGAAATTTAAGGTAACATTTAATGTTGTATGATTTTTAAAGAAAAAAATAAAAAAATAATAAAACTTACTATTTATAAGGTACATTAAATTCTGACCTATTTTTTCTACTATTTTTGGTAAATAGTAATTCTTATTATATATACTAGCACGTAGCCCGTGCGTTGCACGGGACATAAGTATTAATGAGTTATTTCCACAGAACTTGTCCGTTAAGTAGCATGTGCGATTCACGGGAGATATTAAATGAGTGGACCATAGGACTTGTCCGTTCAGGCCTAAAAAATAATAGAGTTTGATTATCTATCTTTTTACATCTTTTCATCAACGTCATTTTTTTCGTCGGAACATTAAACCTGAGTCTGGTAGCGCTAGCCCGTAAAATAATTAATATATTATCTCGTTCACATGTTTATAATAATACAAATTTGATTTCATTATATATATTTATTCATTGATATAAGAAAAATAACAATTTTACGTAATCTTGTTCCTCGTATAATACTTATATTATTTCATTATAAAATTTATTGTAATATAATGTCATTATTATTATAAGTTATAGATGTAATCTTCTTCTTCTTTTTGTTTTATGTAATTAAAATATTTAATGTATGTTCATATTATTTATTAATGTAATTAATTTAAATTATGTTAATAAATTTAAAGTAAAACATTTTGTACAAACATTTTACAAAATATACACAAATGTTTTTTTATAATTTAATTTTTTTACAATAAATAACAACTTTGAAATTCTATGCAATTATTAAAACCGATTAAATCTGCTTTATTAAAACCGATTAAATCTTTATTTATAGGTTTGACATTAAAATCGATTTTATGAGATTATTTTAGCTAAATCGATGTTATGGAATAAAACAAATCTATACTTACATTTGACTATTTTATCCCATATCAAATCTGTAATGTCAAGCTATAAATACCAAAACAAATCTGTAATTAATGTCATTCTATTTTCAGCAAACATTAATTACTTTTGACTTTTCTTTATACTAAATCTGGTAAATGGGATACCTTTTAATATAAGTATAGATATATATATAGATATAGATTGAATAATAAATGCATGACAGCATGAGAGAGAAGGTTGATTATACCTTATATATAAATCTTTACTTTTCTCAAGGATACTCAAAGTTTTGTATTTGCAAACGGTGATTTTGACTTTGAGGCTAGACAACATGCACACACATTTGTCGAACAAAAATTAGTAATTTCATGTAAACTAAAGTCAATTNCAATTTATCTAATGTAATACAAAAGATATATAGATTCTTAATTAGTTCGCACATTATGTATTAAATTTAAAACTCCCCATGTCATCCTAATTCTATCTATTATCCATCCTCCCAACAGCTTTTGTACCCCTTCCTCTTAATCCCCAATGTTCGCAAACAGTTGGGCTCGACAAGACTTAATTATCAGTTCGGTACTGAAGCGACAAGAGATTACTACTACAAGATTTTTACACGTGCATCCGTTTCGTCTTCGCAAACACTCGTGAGTCGTGACTTAACGGCCGTGGAGTAATAACAATGCCCTAACGGCCGTGGAGTAATAACAATGCCCAAAACGTCGAAACCAGAAGCACGAGATTTCCGGCGAGCCCAGGAAGCCGACGAGCTCTGTTCCCTTTTCCGGTGGCCATACTCTCGGTAACATTCTTGAAATTCTCCTGCTGGCCTTTCACGACCTCCACCGGGAACACGCACCCGACTGTCGACGGGTCCTCGGTCACAACCCGTCCAAGCCCATTGAACTTACACGCCCTTTCATCCTGGAAAAATGCCTGGAAATACATGTTGAACGCGTACGACACGTTCTGCCACCTGTCGAGCCCGCTGCACGACCCCTTAGGGTACATGCTCGTGCAGTCCCCCGTCGCGCACGCAAACAAGTACGCCTCCTCCACCTTCTCGTCGTCTCCGTCCTCCGTGGGCCCAAGCACGCACCACCGGTTGGGCATTCGCCTGATCCCGCGGGCCCTGGCCGGGAACATAACCCGGCCCTGGCCCGTGAGGTCGACCCGGTACTTGGGCTCGCCGTTTGACCGGTAGATCCCCCAGTGGCGTCCGTACGCGAGGAAGGGCGGGTTCAGGTTCTCGTCCGTGAGCGCGTGCACATAGATGTCGATCGGCTTCCCCGGGAGCTTGTGGGTCCCGCGGCCGCTGGCGACGAACGGGAGAAGGGCCCCAAGGAATCGTTCGGCGGTGGTGACGTTGGCATTGATGAACCCATCGGTGGGCCACCCGACCTGGGTGACGACGAACCTGACATCACCGTACCCGAGCTTCTCGAGGGCCCACGCGAACGCGTCGTACGAGAACTCAAACACGTCCGTGTAGACGGCGCCGCCGATGTCAGTTATGGCATGGGATGAGCGGCCGTCGGCGATGGCAAAACTGAGGTCGGTGATATTGAGGATGCGCATGAGCTCGACCGGGAAGAACTCGATGTTGACGGGGGCACCGCTTTCCCGGACAATGTCGAGGTGCCTCAAGAACTGGGTCCGAACCGACTCCCTGATCACGGCCTCGGACGGCTTCTTAAACTCATCGAGTACGGCTAAAGGGTGTGGAAACGTGGCCTTGATGTGCCCGTAGCCAGCATCGTTGAGCGCGAGTTGGGTGTAGTTGAAGGCGTCGATCATCCGCCTCTGGAGTTCCGTATCGTTCATCCCCAGGCCGAATATTTCGGTCCCGATCATCACGCACCTAGACATTTATGGTAACAAGAATTAGGAACCAAACACGACAGAACATACACATAGAGTTGTAATCGAACCAAACGACCCGAGTTTTAGGCATTTTGAACTCGTGTTCGTTTACGTTCGATCGCTGTTTCATGTTCGCTTGTTTATTATTTGAAAAAATTCGTGTTCGAGTTCGTCCGTTTAGTTGTTCTTAAAGTTCGAGTTCGTTCGTGTTCAAATAATTTAAAAAACAAACTTATTTAATATGTTTGATTAACTCGAACGAGCTTTTGTTCGCGAACTTTTGATTCGTTAATAGCACTGCATACAAATAAGTAAAAAGAATATTATTTTGACACGTGTCGACAAATGCGCTTACTTTATGTTGGAGGGTCCGAACCAGGGAGACTTCTGGCGGACCCAAGCTTGGGCGAGGTCGTAGGTTGCAACCTCGGTCCACTCAGGAATAGTGATGCTGAGGTCGATGCCGCTCCCGACAAACGCCTGCAGTAGGTCTTCCTCGGACGTGTAAACCCTAGCGGCCGGGACATGGTTTTGCAAGAGGAGGTCGACCACGACAGATGGGATCAGGCGTTGTGCGGTCGAACGTCCCCAGTTTATGCCTATCACGCCCTCTGTAACGACAACATTGTTGCTTATTGTTGTGATTGCAATGAATGTTGCAAGAATGTATGATGGAGAATGGATATTCATTGTTTTGGAGGGCATGGGGAGTTTTGGGTTCTAAGGCAATGAGCCTATTTTGGGGTTATATAGGCATAATAGAGAGGTATGCATTTGGTTATGAGCCTTATGGCTTTTTATTTTTTTTCTTTTTTCACAGGCTATGTTTGAGGGTTGACAAAAGTTTGTTTGACTTTATTAAGGACCGTTGACCGGGGAGATTTTTATGCTTTGCTATAGAAGAAGAGGTTTTTGTGAGGGACAGAAAATTTTGATTGTTGTCATCTTGGTAAAAGTTTCTAATAAGAATTAATTTGTACCGTAGGTATAACCTAGTATTCTTAATGCAATAATTATTTATTTTCTTATATAGGCAAGGCCTTTAAAAAAGGAATAAAGGATTTCATTAAAAAATTAAATGTATTTTTTTTTTTTTATTTCTACCCAAAAACGAGCTGAAATAAAACGAGTCCTACTGTCCTTCCACACAATGCCTCCTCTCAGGTTCCCTTGTCTTCCCCAAACTCTCCCTTCTCTGTAGAAAAAAAATAAAAAAGAAGAAAAAACGCACTCACACATCAAATACATATATATAACCTATACATACAGGTGATAGATATGTACCGGAAAACGCAATATCCTCGCTGGCGACGAAGAGATGGTCGGTCGGGACTACCTGAGATATTTCTGCGCTTTCATCATCCTCCTCTCAGTCGGGTTGCTAGCTTTAAAGTTCCAACTGACCGACCCGATAAACCGGGATACGAACAGTGAAAGACCCATTTTGGTTCCCCTCAGGAGGCAACCTCCCGTCGGCGCCGATCCGTCCAAATCCTCAAGACCCGTCGACGCCCAAACGGTGCCGTTTCCTTATTTTAGGGACCCGGAGTACGAAAACGGATCTGGACTTGACCCGAAGGTCCGTTTTTGTTGCTTTCCTCTCTTTGTTTTTTTGGAAAGTTTGCTTCTTGATGGCGTGTTTAGTTGTTTCAGTAATAACAGAGGAAAGTAGATGGAGCTTTTTTAGCAAATTTAGAAGCAAAACAGAGTTTCTTTTTCCCTATATTTTTTGATACACTTGCAAGTATTTTGTGTAACATTTGCTTATGCTGATTGGATGATTTGACATCTGATCAGTTAATTGTCTGTTTACTGAAAATTGCTTTGCTATCTCAGATATGCATCACAACTACTACTTCTGCTGGGCTAGAACAGATTGTACCATGGATATTCTATCATAAGATTGTAGGGATTTCGAACTTTTTTCTCTTTGTAGAAGGCCAAGCTGCATTACCTGAAGTTTATAGTGCTCTTAACTCGATACCGGTTAGCAAACGAATTTCACTTCTTCGTTTTCTTTTCCTTTCTTTTCTGCCACAGCTAAATCCGGATTTTAACTTGGGTTCGCTCACAGGGAGTGAAACTTATTAACAGGACACAAGAGTTTGTGAAGCAACAGTCGAGCAGGTCTGATATTTTCATGAACTGGAATGTAACTGTTGTATACTTGAGTTTTGCATGTCTTAAGTTAATAATGTCTAATTTCCTTGTATTGTTTGTTAGCCGGATATGGAACGAGCCTTGGCTGACACCATTCTTTAATAAACCGTGCACCCATGAACTGTTTGTGAGGCAGACATTGAACATGGAAAGCGCAATTGACATGGCAAGGGTATATAGTGTCCACAACTATCAAGTTTTCGAAGCTACTATCAAATGATGAATTAATAGTTATTCATCCTTCTTTTATTTTTCTTTAAAGAAAGCTGGCATGGATTGGATAATTCATTTAGACACCGATGAGCTGATGCATCCGGCTGGCACTCGAGAATATTCTGTCCGGAAATTTCTATCAGCCGTGCCTCGAGATGTCGACACGGTGATCTTTCCAAATTATGTGAGTGTTTTTTTGCATTCATGACTTGGAGAAAGCAATGTTGATTGTTTCAATGTTTGCTTAATTTTAAGCATTATTCTATTTAATGATGACGAAATAATTATCTTCAGGAGCAATGTTTGCTTAATTTTAAGCATTATTCTATTTAATGATGACGAAATAATTATCTTCAGGAGAGCGCTGTCGAGAGAGAAGATGTTAAAGAACCGTTCACTGAGGTCATTTCCTCTCTCTCTCTCTCTCTCTCTCTCTCTCTTGTTTGACTGTGTTTATGTCTGTGTGTGTGTTGTAGCTAATATTTATCTTTCATCTGTGGATTTCAGGTGACAATGTTCAAGAAGAATCTGAACCATCTCCCGGGAGAAACATATCTTGTTAATTCCAAAGAAGTTTACCATGGTAACCCGTACTATTTTCTAACTTACGGCAATGGAAAATCGGCTGCGCGCGTTCAAGATCATCTACGTCCGAGTGGTGCCCACAGATGGGACAATTATATGAAAACGCCTGTGTACTGTGATTCTTCTCGTTATCTGTTTCAAATTATGAGAGTTTTTGGGGAGCTTTAGCAAGCAATTACCAAAATATATAAAAAGATTTCGTTTTTCCTTTCATTTTTAACTGTTCTACGCGTTTCTTGTTTTACATAGGGAGATCGAGTCCACTCAGGCCGCTGTTTTGCACTACACTTATGCAAAGTTCTCGGACCTTACTTCACGGCGCAATCGGTGTGGCTGTGAGCCGACAGCACAAGGCACGGACAGATGCTTCATGTTAGATTTCGATAAAAATGTGAGAATTCTGTTTGTTCATTTCTTTTATTGACTTCATTTCTTGAATTCTGTTCGCACCTATCAAAGAGAGTGAAATTTTCAACGATTTTGAAAAAAAATGCAGGCTTTCTTGATTGCTTCAAAGGGTACAGAGGAGGAAATGCTGAAATGGTACTCAGATTAAAAAAAAAAAAAAGCGCACTATCGATTTCCAAATTTGACTGCACAGTTTCCTATGTTGATGAATTTGAATGTCTCTGAATATTCTGCTCCTTTTTCTCTTGGCCAAGGTATCGTGAACATGTAGTCTGGGCCGATAAGGAGGTGAATGAAGATCTCTTGAAAAAAGGAATCTTGACAAGAATATACACCCCAAAGGTATGTTTAAACCTATTTGGCATGCTTTTGCGTATATTTTCATGAAAACATGCATGAAAATAACCTTAACTCTTGATTTTTCTTACAGCATATTATCCAGGACTTGAGGGAATCGGGATATTTCACCTCTTTCATGACACCAGCTGATGATAACTAACACACACTTCATTTCGAGTAGACAGTGGCTTAAAATAGCTGTATCTGGCATTTGGATGGATTTGAATCTAAGGCTGGAAATTCCTGATAATTTAGTTGCTACAGCCTATAGTCTTGCATATAGGACAGGGATAAATATAATTTTATTTTGTCATTTTATTCATTTTCGTTGTCTTTAATACTGTTTCAGTTTGACATATGCATTTGCGCACTGTTAAACTAAACAAGCCCCGTGCTCGGCTCAAGCTCGTCAGGCTCGGCTAAGCTCGTTTGATAAACAAGCTGAGCTCAAACTCATTTGGTTAACGAGTTGAGCTCAGCTCGACTAGATAAGGCTCGAAAATATAATTTTTATGTAATTTTCTATGATTCGGCTCGTTACAGCTCGAGATCGACTTGTCGAACTCGGCTCCTTATTAGTGATAAACGAGTAGAGTTCAAGCTTGATTTAGGCTCGTCTATTTAACAGCTCGTTAAGGGCTCGAGCTCGAGCACCGTAAGCTCTCAATCTCGGCTCAACTTGTTTACACTACTTTACAACATTACAACATTAGCTACTTTACACTACTTTACCAATAACACTAACAAGTCGATTGATCACATCAAACGACCTGACATTTACTGAAGGCTAAAACCGTGTCTGTGTGTAGATGATAGAAATTCCCATAGCCAAAATATATCTTCATTTTCCAACATGATAAGCTTGCACAATTCAACAGCTAAAGCTAAAGTATACTATCAATATCTTGTTCACAGTGTAACTACTTTTGTCAAATACCATCATCATCAAAGGCAAAGTTGCAATGCCCAACACCTGAGTTAACGCTAAATCTATTTTGTTTCGAAACAACATGAAGTTGGAACTGAAATACGACCCGTTAGAAAAACCTCTTTGTATGAAGAGAGCCAAAATGTTATGACAAGTGAAAATCATCCATCATTTGTACCAGCCTGTGAGTAGCCACCTTAGAAAGAAACAGAACCCACAGCATATAGCCTGTAGCACACAAGTCGGGTTATGCTTTGTCAGTCGAATGATTTATGTCAATGTACAATTTTTACAGGAAATGAGCAGATCTTTTGCAAGAAAAACCAACTCTAAAGAAAATCCAGTTCTCTCTCTCAAAATTACGAATACCAGCTCATCAAGGATAATTTTTAATGCGCACACTGGAGCAACTGGATTTTATTAGGTTATGGGTTCAAATCATCTCTAAAATTTTCTATAGAGAAATTTGGCTTTCTGTTAATCCCTGGAAAATAAAGTGCAAGTTACCTGGAAAACAAGTAACATAATACAAAGTGACTTCTCTGTCTTTCGACCAAATTGTCTTAAAAAGAAGTTCACAAGAGTCCCATCGTTCGTCCCGGTCAACAGGCCAGACTTGGGGTCAAACCTGGAAATATAAAAAATAAGTTTAATGCCAATACATGATTTTTTATACTACACGATAAGCATGCAGAAAGGCACTGAGTTGAACTACCTGGGGAGTCGGTGACGTGGACAAGGTACAATACCAGCCAGCTGAAGAAAGATTTAGTATTAATATATGTGACACCATTCGTATAATATGTACGCTCAGAGAGAGAGAGAGAGAGAGAGAGAGAGAGAACCTGAGGAAGTGAGAGGAGGAAGTTGAGGACTTGTGGAGCGAAGAATATCAAAAGTGTTTCACTGAAAAAGAATCATTTCACTAAAAGATCATTAAAAACGTGTGAAAGGTTTGTAATAACCAACCGCTTGTACACTCAGATGGTCAAGAGTTTGTCGGATTAAACCAAATATGGACTCAAAAGTCGTGTATTCTAACCAGTGCCCATATGGTCCTAAAATAATGTACACAATTTCTATGAAAAAAATAAAATAAAATAACAAATACAAGGTTATCATGTTAAAATAAGTTTATAACTCAATGTACTGTACGAGCCCCCTGAAGATCAGTGTCAATTTCACAAATTACACGTCCATTGGTAAAATTATAACATGTTTCGAAAAAGTTATTATTCTTGGGGCCTATTTGTCTTCTGTAATTAGGCTACATATGTCAAAGGCAATACTTTGTGGTTATCACTAAGGATTTTAATGTTGGGCAATGATGTGAAGGAGCAAAAACCTGAAATGGCCTAAAATGCCAGCCACTGCCATTGTCATCCCAGCAAAGTAAGTGTAAGTATCACCAACAAACACTGAAGATGGATACCTATGTGAAGTCACAAGAAAATACAAGTGTCAGCATGCAAATAGAATTATTATTCGACTGCCAGAAAATGATGGCATTAATTATTACCAATTGTAAGAAAGCAAGGCTAAAGAAGTGGCCAGTAAGGGCTGAGTAAGGTAAATGGAGAATGCATGTGCTTGCTTGTATTCTGGATCAGTAGATGCTCCGATTTGCATTATGTTGTGTATTAAAATCTGCAGTTACAATTATACGTCAGACTTAGCGGATTACTGAGTTCGACTCGACAAATGTGTACAAAATAATGTTTTCCTTACAGCACAAGCAATAACAACAGTCTGTCCAACTTCGAGGCCATTGAGACCAGCATGAATGTTTATTGAGTTAGTGCAAAATACAGCCAAGAGCCCCATATAGAGCTTGTATATCCACCCTATACAAGTAGAATTTAAAATTGAGTTAGTGTAAAATGGATGATTTCCACTATCTACCAGAAAAGAGAGATTAAATGACTTATAACCTGCAATAAAATAACAAAATTGAAATTTGTCACAAGGAAATTTTACCTAAATCTAAAATCTCCAATCCAACATACGGAATGAGAGGCTTTGGAATAATTATAGTTGTATGCCCCGCATAAGCCATCAACAAAGGAAGTGCAGCTACAGATGGCAATACTAGTTTTCTGTATTCGAAATCCCAAATGTGTATTGAAGCAAAGATATAATGTCAAGAGAAATAGAGAAAGGCACCAAGGATACTCACACTCTCCAAGGTACATCAAGGACATCATCAACAAATCCAAGGAGAATCATGAAGCAAATTGATGCCAGTGCAGCATTGTACTCAACGAGCCACTTTAAATAAAACGAGAAGAATGATTAATAGAAAACTAACAACAAGATTACACCTTTTGCTATTTCCAAGCAATAAGATCAAAGGTATGCTGGTGGAGAAAGGTAAAGTACAGCTAAAAGAAAATAACTGCACTAATGCAAAAGGAGTCAAATTGAACTGTAATGTAGTGACTAGATGTCAAGCTAAAATATATTGACAGCAATGCATTTGCGCGTGTGTTTTGCTTCAGGTTTAACAAATTACCTAATCAGCTTGCAAATCAGTTAAATATGAAACAGGGGCATGATATATAAAGCCAAACTCCAATTTATAGAGTAAAGTGTCATCATGCTCGATAATAGAAGTGTTATTAACAGAAGCAAATCAATGTATACTTACATTCGAATCTGCAGTGAAGTTGAAATATTGGAACAAAATCGTCACAACCAGAAACACTATCCCAACTACAATTCCCAACGACTCAGGCCTGCATAACATTAAACAAAAAAAAAAACAAATGTTGTCTGCTATAAACACAACTAAAGTTGCCCACGAAAGGGAAAGGAAGACAACATCTGAAATATGAATATTCTAACTTCGTGAATCATAATCAAGGTGAATGCTAGTCCTAGGCAGTTTCACTCTTTCATAGCTACTCCAAATCAAACTCAAACCTTTCAAACAAAATACAGTGGTAAAAGTTCAAGTCTTCAACAAAAGTAACTAATGAAATGTAATCAATTAAGGAAATAACCGTGAAATTGAAATTAATAAAGAATGCCACCATATAACACTGCCTCTTTTCAGATATGCAAAGACTGAAATTGAAATTAAAGGAAAAAGGGAAAAAAGTGGAGAAATTCAACTTACACTTTGATAGATCCATCAGGGGTACCTTTCTTGTTTATATCAAACCCAAACAAATTCCTTCTCAGCACATACTTGGACGCCACTGGGATCAAGCTCACCGTTACGAAAAACCCTATAATGCTCGCGACCGAATTGATCAAGATCGATTTTTTGAGCTCGCGTTCAATTTCGTAGTACCAAAAAAGCAAGATAAAATAGGGGATCGCGAAAATGAGGAAGATTTTCGTGATTGTGAGGAGTTTAGCGGGCCGAATGGGAGAGTCTGTTTGATGGGTTTCGGGCTTGGGCTTTTCCGGTTCGGGCTTTGAGGTCTCTGTCGCCGGAGCTCGCTTCCTAGCAGCCATTGCTGATGTTTTGTGCGGGTTCTCTCTTTCCCTCTCTGAACTATCTATCCCACTTTAAATAATAAATTCTTAGGTGATGCTTGGATGCAATTTTTCTTTTTTTTAGTTTTATTTAGATTTTTTTGTTTTATGGGATTCACCGTCATATTATATGAACAAAAAAATTATTAATATTATAAAATTTTATATTATAATTTTAATTATGATATTTGTAATAAAATTATATATATTTATGAAAAAAAAATATCGATCTAAGTTGGCCTGCTAGAAAAGTTGCAATAAATTTCAATTATGAACACAACTCTAACTCAGCTTGAGGGAAGGCAACCAATCGTGTGTTGACACGTAGGATAAGATTGTCATATAGACGAGGGTTGAGCTGAGGTGGCATTGTTCATAAAATTTGCATATTATGTCCAGTTTGCCTACCAAACTTTCAATTTGGAGCAACTACTAAATTTGATCAACGCGCCATTGATTTTCAATTGATAAATAGAAGTCTTCGTTGTTTTCTTTCAACTATGCAAAGACAATTAATCGGGCAACCATGACTTTATATTGGAAAAAAAAGGCAAAGATTTTATATTGAATTGCCTCACCTCTAACTTATTGAATTAGATCCAGTCCAGCAAATTAGACTTGGAGCCATCCCCAGATAATTATATATTTTTTTATAAATATGTATGAATTATGCATAAACGGTATAATTTAAAAAAACGATCATAAATAAAAATATGACATCTTAATAGGTATTTATATAACTTTTTGTTCAAAAAGTATAATGGATCAACTCTCTTCATTGTTACGTCGAGTCACATAAAAAGTTGTGTAAGAGAATTATTTACGACAACCATAAATTTTTTTTAATCTGATTCTACCCAATCCAAAAGTTCGTTATATTGCTTTTGAAGAGCCTTGTATATTGCTTTTGTTAGGCCCTGATATGAAGTCACAAACTGTTGGTTCCAGCTCTTTAAGACTGCCAAAGTTTGATCTTCATATTGGTCACCTTTTGGTGCATTAGTTATCCCTATGGGATCCTTTATCCGGGCTAGTTAGCCTCCGATTTGTACCAGGACTTTTATTTGAGTAATATACTTCTATCGTTTCGAAAAAAAAAAAAAAAAAAAAAAAAAAAA